TGGCAGAAACTGCACCTGAATTCAATAGTCTCTTGAGTTGCAGGTCTGGGAGGGCTATGTTTTTGGATGGGAAGCCTCAAGTGGCAGCATGAAGTTAGCAAGCACAGAAGTGGACAAGATTTGGAGCTGAGAATAAAACCAGGGCCATGGGTGCCATGGTGCAGCGGCACTCACCCTTGACGCCTACTCTTGACAATGGCCAACTTTTCCTTTCTACCCCATAATAATGATAACATCCAGAGTTACTATTTATTGAGCTCTTTCAAACTATACTAAATATTTTACACATATCATCTCATTATCTTCACATCATCCCTAGAGAGGGAAGGCATTAGAATAATTAAACCATTTAATCTTCCTAAAAACGCTGCGAGGTAGGTACTATTCTTATCCTCATTTTATAAACGAGGAAACTAAGGCACAAAGAAATTTAGTAATTTGCTTAAGGAAACATGGCTAACAAGCAGCAGAGCTGGCTCAGAGCCATTATTCTTTGCCTTTGATACCTGCGTGGAATGTTGTTGAATAGTGCTGACTTACAACCTTGTAGCTACACTATACTGATAAGTTATGGTGCAAAATGGGGCTTTAAGAGAGGGACCAGAGGCAACATGTACTCGCTCAAGAGCCACGTGACTTGGCTTTGCTTCTGATACATGAAAGTGAATGGAAAATGGCTACTAAATAAGAGACCCCTAAACAAAAACAAAACCAAACAAACAGAAAAACAAAAACAAAATCCCGGCTGCACTTGGGCATAAAAACAAACAAACAAAAGAGACCCACCACAGGAGTGAGATCAAAACCATGACGCAGGAGCAAAATCTCTTGCCTGAGAGAGCTGGTACTGCTGCCAATGAAAGGAATGAGATGAGAATCTGACACGGAAGTGATATCTGAAAATCTCAAAGCATGATTGAGGGTGGAAAAAGCCCTGTGGACATCTTTAAGGCTAGTGAATCATTTCTTCTCATTCTCTTTCTTGGAATTGGGGTAAGTCGGTCAGACATCCATGCAGGGAGTCAGTCCACAACATTCACTGAGTACCTTTTTCATGAAGTACTCTTTCTAAGGCCACAAAGTTCCTAGTTGTGAATGTGTAGTGAGTACGGTCTTTATTTAATGTTTGCAAGATTGGGTTCTTAAGAAGAAACGTGTTCTGCAAATTCCACACGCTATCAAATAATAGGAAAAGTGATTTGAAGAATGACAAAATCGCCACTCCCAAATTCCACGCTAGAGTTTTAAGAGTAATTAGATCTGTAGTACTAAAGAATTCAAGTCATTTAAGGGCGACTGCTGTTCTGTGACCAGTCTTACACATTTGGTCCCAACCTCCTGGGACCATTTCTGAGTCATAATAGGAAAGTGGTGCCTCTCCCTTGTGTTTGTGAATCCATATGGTTCTACGCAGGGCTGCTATCCCTCCCTAACTTCTGACACATCCAGGCAGGAAAGTAAGCACACATATTTACACAAGCTACAAGGCTGTGCAAACAAACTCTTAACTGGTTAAAGGGCATTTTTTAAATGGTTTTTATTTCTTACAATTTTTAATGATCTTTATACATCTAAAATCTGTTCTATATTCTTTAGAAGTCCTTATCCTTATTCTCTATAAGTAGTTTCCATCAGTGTTTTTCCCCCGTGCAACACCAAGCTCTCTCAATTAACTCCTACATCCTTTTTATTACTAAGGGTATAGGTTTTCAAATAATAAATGTAAATTTTTCCTAGTGTCCATAAGCTGCCAGTTAGCTAAGAATTTCTATTATTTTCATTAAGGCGTTAAAAATGGGTTCTCTTTTGAAATGCACTTTGTGAATATACTATTCTTTCACTTCCATGGGTTCCACCTTAGATATGATATGTTTCAAAACTTTTGAGGCCACATCAGCTTTTCTACTTAGGGTTTTGCAGAGGTCAGATAAAAATGGACTCAACTGTTGGCTAGGAATTGAATTTCAGTAAGGGAGAAAAAGAAGCTTATTATTTAGCAAGTCAACAAAAAATGTGTTCTGGTTTCTCACTATACCCTTTAAAAATGCAGTGTTAACTTGAAAACAAATAAATACACCAGAAAATGCTAAACATTAAAAGCCAGTACTCCTTTTTTAGTATGCTATTTCTTTATGATAGTTAATAGTTAATTTTGACTTCTTATAAAGGTTTGAAACACCAGGAATGAAAAGAAAACTGAGTTATTGCCAATAATCCACTCCAAATAATTGACTTGACTACATTTTTATATAACTGAAGGTCACTAGTTTTCTATTGCTTTTGTTCTTACTTTTCAAATAATGGATGATTAGTGTTGACCTTCAGCTTGTCGTGTTCTCCATGCCAGAGCCAAGATCAACTCATAGGTATTTATTTATTTAGCTAACTTCACCATTAAGGCTGCCAAAGAGGATCCAGGATGGAACTAATTTAAAATTGCAGGTGCGTAAAAAGGATAAAATTAAACATTGTACAGAAATGACCTCATGTGTTTTCGCAGCATCCATGTAAATAGATAAAAGGATTATATTAGTCCCACTGTATAGATAAGGATACTGAAGGAATAAGGAAACAAGTATATTCAACATTTATTGAGCATCTATAGCAGGAGAGGTGCAGTTTGGAATATACCTATGCTATGGTTTGAGTGTGCCCCCCAGAATTTATGTGTTGTTAATTTGGTCCCTGCTGTGGTGGTATTGAGGGTGAGACCTTAAAGAGGTGATTAGGTCATTAAGAGGCCACTCTCTCAGGTCTGGGTGGATTCTTACTAGAGTAAGTTCTCACTCGGGATTGGATTATTTATCTCGAGAGTGGGTTGCTATGAGGCAAGGTGGCCCCTTGTATTTCTCCTCTTTCACATGTGCCTGCTTCTCTACCGTGCTATGACACAGCATGAGGCCAACACCAGAGCTGATCAGATACTGGTGCCATGCTCTTGAACATTCCAGCCTCCAAAACTGTAAGAAATAAACTTCTTTTCTTTATGAATTACTCAGTCTTGGGTATTTAGTTATAGCAACAGAAAACAAAGACAATCTAAAAATAAGCTAAAGTCAATATCCATCAAGTGGTCAAAATCTAGTGGACAAGCAGATAGTGAAAAATGCAATAATAAAGACACAGAATGCAATGGAGGAATAGCGGAGAAGGTAACTTCTGTTAATTGGAAGATTTTGTGGAGACGGAATCTGAACCAAGCCTTAATAGGTAGTGAGTATTCTACAAAGATGGTGAGGTAGCAGAAGAAACAGTATGAGCAAAGGCACAGAAAGGATATAGGATGAGAATTTATTTAGCTCTTGCATAGGATTTGAGGGCGCCGCAGAATAGAAGAAAGAGAGGAAGTGTCCAGATCTGAAGTTTGCAGATGTCTTTGATGCCAATTCTGATAGTCATGTAGAGGAAGGAGTAGGGTAGAGGGAAATCACCCTAGAAGGCCATTGCAATGGTTCTGGAAAGAGGTACTGAAGGCTTGACCTGAGCAGAAGTAGGAGTAGAAAGAAAAGCAATGATTTTAAAGAGAACAGAGGTGGAATCTATATATTAATAACTTGGCAACTGATTGGACACAGACCATGAATAAAAAAGATGAGGTGAAGATAATTCTGATGCCTTAATTTGAATCAGAGAACATAGTACACTTGCGCCAGACATATGTAAATTTTTACTAGGGAGGAAGTCAAAATGTGGGTCTAATGATTAGGACAGATAGTGATTTAGAAATCAACCATGATATGATGGCTGAATCCATATGAGTAGAAGAAATCACCAGGAATAATTAGAGTACAAGAGAGAAAAAGGAAAAAAAGAAAACCTCAAGGGAACACCTCCATTTTAATAGAGTGGAAAAGAGGAGTGAAAGAAGAGGGGTTATTGATGCAGCCGGAATGGTCAGTCAGAGGGGTAAGAGGATAACAGGATAACAGGTAACGTGATAGAAGTCATGGAAGAAAAGTTCCCAGAAAGAGAGCTGAATGCTGCTGAGGGTGTAAGTAAGCGATTTATTGTGGCCATAGAGGTTATATCCAAGCTCCTAACCTCTGTACCTTCCTACTGAATTATCAAACAAGAAAAACAATATGATTTTTCAAGAGAAGTCTACTTGTCATTTTGCCAGTGGACTGGGACTCAGTCGTCGAAACTCATTGCAAATTCCGAACTCCTTCATGAAACTTTCTTTGCGGCCTACAGAGCTCTCCTTACATTGAGCTTTTAAGATAACTATAATTAATAGGCCTCACATGCTCTCCTTCATCCTTGTAGTACAGCGCAGTGGTGAAATGCAAGGGCTTCCTCAGACGCTGGTTGGAATCTAATCCAGCAGGGTGCTGAGGGCTTGCTAACTGTCTCTAAGCCTTGGTTTCCTCGTCTGCAAAAGGGGAATGGTGCTACTTGCTTATTAGAGTTGATAACCCTCAGCATGATGCCATCAAAGGCTCAGTTCATTTTGCTGTTAGTGTGTTTTGTAATTTCCCTCAGGGCAGAGGACTACTCCAGCACTATTCCCTAAGGCAGGCAGCACCGACTTGGGGACGTGCGCCTCAGTCAGCCAGCCCTCGGGGAAACGTCATTCGCAAGAAGAGGGATAAATCGCTGGCAGCTTTCCCGGGACTCGGTAGCCCACCGAGGGAGGGTTGGCTGCCGGGCACCGGTGGAGTGGGAGCCCGGCAACAGCCCGTGACCCTCGGAGGACCACACGTCCCAGGGTGCAGCGCGCCTACCCGGGGCACAATTTAGCGAGGAGGTTCCGCGTTGGCTTGCGGGAGCGCCGGGGAGGAAGCAGTGCACGCTGGGACCGGTAGTCCTCAGGTGGCCACTCCGCGGATCGGAGGAGGGTCGAAGGGAGAGATCCCTCCCCAGTCCCGCCTTTTGTCCACGTCTCACTTCTCCTGGCCAATGCCCTCTCCTGTCGCCGGAGCCAGCCCCTCTCCGATGTGACCCCCATTGGTCCTGAGGCTCAAGGACTGCGGCCCTACCCGGAAGTAGCGTTGGGGGAGGCGGTTTCCTAGACTACGACACCGGAAAGCTGGGGGAGGTGCTCCCAACCTTTGAGGGCGGAGGGCGGTGGCGGCGCTGTCGCTGGGGACCGGCTCTGTGGCTTCGGGAAATAGTTTGGCGCCGGCGGCTGCCCGCGTTACTTCACATCCCGCCCTCGGCACGGCTAGCAGCCCCCTTGCCACCGGCGTCCGGCAATGTGGCCCACCGACCGGGCGTAGCAGCTGCGCGTGCGCGGAACCGGGGGGCCATGAGCGAAGCCGGCGGCTGCCGGGGCTGTGGGTCCCCGGTCCCCCAGCGAACGCCATGGAGCCTGGTGGCGGCGACGACCGCGCTCTGCCTGGTGTCGGCCACGTCCGTGTGGACGGCGGGGGCCGAGCCCATGAGTAGGGAGGAGAAACAGAAGCTTGGGTAAGAGTGCTTGGCAGCCTAGGGTGGGTTTCCCGGTGAGGCTGACCACGGGCGAGGTGGCTGTCATTGCGACCCGGGCGCGCAGTCCTCTCCTGTCGCGGCTATTGCCGCGCGATAACCCTGCAAGGGTGGACAGGGTCTGGGAAGGTGGGGGCAGCCGTTCGCGACGTGACCCCGAGGGCCTGTCGGGTTATCCCCCGGGCGGTCGGTGTCATGTGCGGAGCCCTGAGGCCAGCCGCGATGTGTCAACGCGGCTGCCATGTCCGTGGCCCGCGAAGGGGGCTACAGCCCGTGTCGCTGCGCGCAAGAGTCCTGTGGTTGCCTTTCGATGGAGGGATGGTTAGATTTCTCGCACAAGTGAGCTCTCAGCTGGGAAAATGTTGCCAATCTCACGGTAGTTAAAGAAATGGTGTTTACACCTGTTACGGAAAAGGGGGCGTTCATTGGAACTTAAACTTCACACATTTTACTGTTTCCTTGCAGTGTTTTCTTGCACTGCATTTTCATAATAGAACAGAATAATAATTGGTGTTATTCAAATCCCCAGTGAAGTATACTTATTCACTTTACTCAGATTAGTTTTATCAGTCTTGAAAGTGTCATAAAATTATCAATTATATTTACAACGTTTAATTCAGTGAATAATACTAGTATACTCGAGGTCCCACAAGTGAATAAGAAAAAAGCCAAGAACCAGTAGAAAATGGGCACAGGACATGAGAAGTTAAGTCAGAAGAGGAAATGCAAATTGTAGATAAACATGAAAAGTTACTCAACCTCATAAATGTGAGAGATGCAGATTAAAACAGCCCACCAGATTAGTAAATACAATACACGGTAATACAGTACTGGGTAGTTAAGGTGTGAAAAAAAACTTGGTAGGGCTGTGAATTGTTGTAACTTACTGGCGGTATGTCTTAAAATTGAGATTGTGCATATTTCTTTGATTCATCGGTTTCGTGTCTGGAATCTACCTCAGAGAAATAAAAGCACTATTTATGTAGAGATAGGTGTACAAGGATGTGCATTTTGAAAGAACTATTCCTCGGAGGCAGGTGGTTGAATATAGTGCTTCTGTATTATGGAATAATATTCAGAAAAGAAGAAGGAGGTATGTCATTGGAAGACTATCCAGAATATATTCCTAAAACAAAGAAAAAAACCCCAACAAGTTGTAGAATAACATATATAGTACTATCCCATATTTTTTTTAAATGAAAAAAATTTTCTAAGCTTGGAAAAAAGTGGAAAGATGATTGTTGCATGGGGTTAGGATGGAGGGGCAGCAGAACCATCCTTTAAACCATAATTACTTTATATATTAATGCTATTTAAATCATTGTAACAGTCTTATATTTCTAAATAAAATAGCAATAAAGTACATTTAATGGAAAAAAGTTGAAGTATCAACTATCAAAACAAAATTACCAGTAAACTAATAAGTATCTTAAATTTTCTCTCTTCGTGAATTTAATATATCATTGATAACTTTTACTGAATACCCCACTTTGGGCACTTTACATATGTTATCTCTGTAATCCTCCCTCTGTCTTAATGAGCTGGATGTGGTCCTCATTTTGCAAATGAGGAGGAAGTCGAGACTCAACGGTTGACTTGTTCAAGGTTGCAGGGCTT